TCCGCTTCGCGGGGACGGACCCCCGTTTCCCCAGAGGAGAGTGTTTGGCGTTCTTCCCGCTGCTTCCCAGCTGCCCCAGAATACTAACACAGCACTTACAGGGAAAAATGGCTCCTTGGCTGGGTCAGCGGTTTGTGTCTCAGTTCACCTTTCGGAACGCCTGAAAATTACCTGATCTTTTCCTAAAAGTTGATGATAAGCATTTGTGGAGGAACTCCCAGAAGCTGTGAAGTGACATAAAAGTTTCTGAAAATCCTGCTCCCTGGGTCTTTGTAGCTTTCATACCTGTTCGATCACAATGATTTTTATTTTTTTTTTTATAGCAATACTTTTTGTGGTTTACCTGGCATTCTGAATGGTTCTTCTGCTGTCATAAGTAGGTGTTCAAATGTGAGTTCATACTGTACTCGAGCCCATTACAGTCTCCTGTCAGGAATAAATTAACGCTGCTTCATAATTTTGGCCATAAAGGGGGAACCTTTAGCTAGGTGGTCCAATACATTGCAAACATTATACAGTACAGAAGATAACGCAGAAAGAAGCTGTGATCTTTATTTTTTTATTTATTTATTGCTAATCTGTGAAGAAATAATTGAGCAATAGAATAATTCCCTGAGCATAGATTATTGATTAGTTTGGTTTTGTAATGTGGGGATAAGAGGAGAAACATTGCATGGGATGTATTTTAGCAGATGCTAGTAGCTTGCCCATCAGAAATAGTGCCCATGCTGTCTTTCCTGCACCTTTTTATAGAGGACTCCAAAACAAAACGGAATTTGAAATACTCCGTTCTCAGCTCAAATTGCATTAATCTCAGAAAATATTTTAGCCGGTATTGAAGAAAATAGTGCTGTAACTGAATGATTAAGGATTAAGAAGAGGGCTTTCTTGCCAGTGTGTCTGGTGGTTGGTTTATAGGTAGTTTGCTCAGATATTTGGTTGCATCACCATGATGTCGTTAGACTAATTTAGCACTTTGGGAAAAGATTGGTTGCCTGTTCTTTTATATCTCTTGTGAGAAGGTATAGCGGTTGTGGAGCTCAGCTTGGATAGAGAACAGGCAGGCCGCTATACGGGAAGGGAGGTTGTATGGGGCATTACTAGTGTTACTGTTAGGCTTTCCGAAAAGTTGCTCTAAAAACAGCTTGTGTGAAGAACTTTTCTAGTTTTTATTTTGTTTGAACAGAAATTGTTACAAAAACCAGAGATTTAGGGATTTTTTTTTTTCCTCCTGTTGTTCTCAGGTGCCAGTGATTGGAAAGAGAAATGAGATTTTTTTCACAGGGGAGGTAACGTGCGCTGTGGATATGTTTCTGTACATTCAGCCCTAGATTGTTTTGGCTGAGAGTATTGCAGAGTTGGTGTCTTTATGCTCTAATGTAAAGGCTGGGTATGGGATGCTTAAGCTTACTGCTTTTGGACTTGGCTAATTCATAGGAAGGTAAGCATCCTACACTTGGAAATAACCTCCATGTTCTGTTTCCAAGAGTTTTGACTGACATTTGCGGCATTGTGCTAGGTGCATGGTTTTGCGTAGGGGTATGCTGAATAGGAGATTTTTGGGGACTAGCTGGGGTGTTTTGTCATACCAACTTCTAAGTTGGTATCTTCCAGTTTATGTCCAAATGAAAGACTTGGAGTGTAGGGGAAAACCTTGAAGACTTGCATTGGTACAAGCAGCTGTCTGTGCTTTAGAAGCACACATTTGAAAAATTCTGTATTTTTTTCCTCTATTTTAAGAGATGCAAAGTAAAGTAAAAATGAACAGATTCCTGCAACGGACCATGCAAAGGCTCTTCTCTCTACTCCATGTGTACTTTAACAGATCCCTGGTGCAATGAGGCTTTTCATGAGCGAGGTGATCCCAGCAGCGTTGGGACCTAGTCCCTAGCAAAGAACTTGAACACAGCTCTAGGCATTGAATGTAGCTCATCTTGAATTTGTCTAAAACACTTAATTTCTACGAAAGCAGGTGTATGGTTGGTATTAATCTGAAAAATGTCCTTTATATACTCAGTCCTTTCTAAACAAGATGCTTTTTACTTACATATTGCTCGAAGATGAAACTGTGATTGGAGGTTAGGGAAGAAGAATAACATGAGGCAGATGAAATACAGTTTGTACCTTGCTTTGCTTTTTCACTCAGATTCTTTGGGACAAAGGTGGGAGTTTAAACAGTGATTAAATTGTACGTTAGGTGAATGCATTGCACAGTTGGTTAGGAAAAATAACTGAAAATAACTCTGATTTCTACTGTTGGAGATGTTGTCTTTATTTCTTCTTTCTTTACTTTGTCTGCAGCTGTGTCTTGAGCTTTAAAGTGTATTTTTAAACCTGTGGAGCAGGAAAACCTCTCATTTAACTTCAGGATCTTGATCAGTGGACTTAGATGATCCAAACGTGGCTTCAGGGTGCTATTGTATTAAAAGAAATGCTTATATGTGGACATGCATCATGTATTTTACAGCTTACTTGAGACTAAGGTGATACGTCGCTCCTTTTTTTGCCACTGTTGCTAATTATCCTGTAGAAAATGGCATTCTCTTTCCTGCTTCCTGCATATTTACAAGAATTGGAAACTACGTGGAGTGACAGGGAGCCAAGAATTGCAAGTCTGGCAAAGAAGCCTGATGTAGTAGTTTAGCACGTCAGTCGTAACTGGTGATGTGGAGACTCTTACAGGAGCCTCCTAAGCCATGTAGAACTGTATGGAGACTGTTCATAAATATTTAACATAGTTTCAGTGGTACATTAAAGATTAATTTGGCCCGTGAGTGGAAATACTTAAGGAAAAAAAAAAGAAAAATACACCTGAATAACTTCATTTTAGGAGCAGGTGTTATAGCACACAAGTTAGCTTGCATGTGCAGAATTAGCGCGATCTTTAAATAAGAAGCAGTCATGATAGTCAAGAACTAATAAAATGACAATTGGCTTTCACAGAAAATTCATCTGACATATTGTCAGAATTGGACAAAACAAACCAGGTTTTCTTTTACTTCTCTACCTTGCACAGAAGGATAATAGTGTTAACATCTCAAACCCAGCTGGAATGAAGCAGTGACTTTTGGCTAGTGATAGACGGGCTTTCTGGAGATCTTTGAATGCTGTCATGGCAATTCTTGTTCCAGTCGATAATTCTTCTTCATTGGATATCAAAACCAAAAAGAGAAAGGGACGGCATATTCTCTAAACTAGATTTCTTTTCATATAAATTGAAAACAAGTGAAAAGAACATTTTGGAAGATTTTGAATAGCTCATGATGACTGTTGCTTAAATTACTTAAGTTTTCTGGATCGTTGAATTAGTATTGCCGTTTTCTGTGTTAAAAATGGCACTGCTTAAGTAGTGGCGTACTACGAGTTTTTGTTACATGTTCATGTGACACTTTTTTCAAGGAATTCTTTGTAATTTTTGAAAATATAAAATGCCTTAGATGAAATTTAACAGTCTATATATGCAAGGCCATTTTCTTGCAAATGTATGTATTGGGGAACATCATATATAACAAAATCCCAAATGAATTTTAAAAGTGAACACTTCTATCTTTAGTGTCTCTAGTCGTTAGAGTCCACTTTAGGTGACAAAATTGGTCCCTTCCTACGACTTAGAAACTGAATTCACATTTACTTTGTATGGAAAGACTTGAGGAAATAGAAAACAGTCTAACATTTTACCTCTGTCATAATTTGTGTGCAATTAAATGTTGGTGTGGTGTTTTTGTTGTGTTCTGTGCTGTGTTTGCTTGCTTTTAGGTATTCCTAATTTTTAGTTGTCATCAAAGGGACAGATCAGTTTACTCTGTATTTTATATATGAATTTATGGGATTACAACAGGCAAAGGTGAGATGCTGGGATTTTAGTTGAGGCCACTTTGCAAGCTGAGTTGCTGCGGTTAAAGGCAGCATCGGCAGTGCCCAGCTGAGCTGCCTTTACCTGCACAGTACCGGCTAGGTGTCCGGGTAAGGATAGGGGTCTGGAGACCCGCAGAGAGCAGTCGCCAGGCCGTTACACTCCCTGTGCGTTTAGGTCAGCTTATTGAATTGGTGGATTTGTGGGTGTTTTTGTTTGATTCATATTTTGTAAGATGAGAGTGGCTGGAGCTGAGGTGCGGTGGAAGATTTGGTGTCTGTAACAGAAGAACAATACTCAAATGAGCTCTAGAAGTATAATGGTTATGGCATCCCTGAGTGACTGCTGGTGGTAGCAGTTGTTATATGTCAAGGTAATGTTTTGGAGTATGCAGTGTATGTCTCTACTAATAGGGGTAACTTCCTTCATTTCATCAGGTGCTTTTAGATATCGAGGGCTTGAAAACTATGATCCATCTAGACAATCGAAGTATAAGTAATTATAAGAGGATTACTTCGTATCTGGTTGCTTAGGCCAAATTAACTGACGCCTTAACAGACACAAAAATAAAACAGGTTATTTCTTTTGGCTTCCTGTAGACTGCTTGCATGGTTTTAGGGAACAACAAACATTGTGGCAAATGCGTCTGCTCCTTTGAACTTGTAATGTTTTGATTTACATGAGCAAAGCTTGCTAATTTAAGAGTAACACTAAAACAAATGTGTCAGTTGCTTGGGACCAGCCTATATATGTGACAGGAGTAATTGTAATTAAAACTAGACATTTCTTTAACAATTATTTTTTTTCTGAAGTCCACGATTGCTACTGCCCAGCCTTGTATTACGTGCTGTATGTAGATTTGCTTCCAAGAGTTAAATTATTATTGGCTGACTCTTTTGATAGCTTTCATAGTGAAAAATTCATTGTTTGACAACATTATAAAAAGCTTTGCATAAGTTTTACTGCAGTTTTTAGCATTTTCTTTCTTCTACCTTTTACTTAAAATTCAGTATTTCTAAAACTAACGAGCCTCTCGATAGATTCACATGAATGAGAACATTTATTTCTACTTTGTTTTCTGGTCATCAGCTGATACACTGTTCTCTGTCCTGCAGTTTTTTTCCATCGCTGTAAATGCTGTATTTGGGTGATGAATGGTAGACGTGCGTTCTGTTATACATAATTCAGACACTATTCCATTTGGAATCACGCTGGAATGGAGGCATTGATAACTTCCAAGTAAATGAGTAGGTAGAAATCAGACAGCTTATTTATTTTTATGGGTTTAGCTTGTCAGCTTTTGTGAATGTTTGTGTTCTCTCACATTCTTGCTGTCTAACTTTGAATTTCCAGGGACCATCGTGTGTCTAGAACCATTTAATTTTACCCATGCATATGAAATGTAACCCTGTGGTGGTTTTGGTTGAATTTCAAAATACAAAATGTAGCACAGTAACAGTCTTATGAGCGATCCGAGATCACTTCAGGTAGATGGAAGAAAAGTTCAGTGCTTAATTTTTACTGTCGGTTATGTTAACTATGCATTTTGAAGTGCAAGAAAAACTGACAGCGTTTAGATCTATCATTGTGTTTGTTTTTCCAGCTGTTGTAAAGTTTAAAAAAATATTGGCAACAGTTGTCATGGTACCTTCATATTAGTAAAGCCACTATCTATTAAGGAAAACTATTTTCCGTAAGTTTCCTCAAAATTTGTTCTTGTATATGGAACATCTACATGTCTATAAATGTATACGTGTATATAAAATCACATTCTTAGCAATTGCCTGACCCAGAGGATAAATAAAACCTAGGCTAGGCAGTGCTCTCTAGCTGACTTCATATGTATGCCTGCTCTCTTGGAGATCTGATTCATAGTAAATGTACTCTTGAAACAAAAATCCTAATGCGAAAATAAACTGTCTTTTCTATCTTACCTAGATAAACAGTGATGATTTTTATACTTTTGGGCGCTTCCCTGGTGTAGAAAGCCTTCATTTCCATGTCTGCCTTTCCTGAGGCTCCTTTCTGTAGGAGTGTGTAGATTCTTTTTAGAGTGGAAGTTCACAGCATTTTGCTTACACTGATAAATGTGAGCAGTGATTGAGTTGTTATAGTTTTTCTAATACTTCAAGTGAAAATTTATTCACCTGGAGCAGAAATGCAATTTTAGTACTGTTTGTAAATGTGTGAAACTACTTGGGAGAAATCTCTTGTAGCCTATTTTTCCTAACCATGGGTAATGTCTGTTAAATTCTATTATTTATTGGATAACTAGGTATAAGGTTTTTTTACTGCATATGTTACTAACCTGAGAGACTGCAAACTTAAAAGTTGAATTGATTATATTAGAGCATGAGATCATGAGTACGGTTTGTGCGATATGGTTTCAGAGGTCTGATACACCTATCTGTTCTCTGGTAGTTTTCTAATATTAGTAGAAGTAACTCTTTTTACATCTATTGCTCTCTAAACCCATTTTTCATACGCAAATTTTCCAGAAATAAAATTCAAATTCCATTACTATCTGGAAATCTCAAAATTTTCTTTTTATTTTTTTCTCCCCTTTGCCCCCAGATATGCGTGATAAAATGAGGAAATGGAGGGAAGAAAACTACCGAAACAGTGAACAGATAGTGGATGTTGGAGAAGAGTTAATTAATGAATATGCATCTAAACTTGGAGATGACAGTAAGTGAACAATCATTATTTTTAAAACTTCCATTATCTGATTTTGTTTTCTCTTTTCAGCCTCTATTTTGTACTTCTGTGTTGCCTTTCTGTATCTGCTGATGTTGATGAAATATATATTACTTTCTTAGCCTAATAGGCTGCCAGAATTCCTAGCTTTTATTTCTTTTTCAAGTATGGGCTGCAGTGAAAACAGATGGAAAAATTACTTACTAGAACTGTTAGTTTGCTAGATTAGTAGTAAGACCTTTATGTGAAAACTTAGCGTGAAACTGTTATCTAGCTGTCATTTGACTGATTTTCTGTTCTGCAACACCATGGCAAAAATAGAAAAGTGTCTTTTTATAACAGAGAAAACTAGTCCTTAATCAAGTTACACATACTGCAGGAATTGATACTCTGTTTTTATTCTAACATTACATTTGTGATATTACAGTTGAAGTTAAGTCTAAGTTTCCACTATTCATGAAATTATTATTTTCAGGGGATTTTAACTACCTTATACTAATATCAGTAGACAGACGCTTGGATATTACATTTCATACTAAAAGAGAATTGATCAGAAACATCACAATACAATAGCACTCTTCACTATAAGCATAAAATAAAATATAACAAAATGCTATCAAGATTTGTATAGGTTTGCATATTAATCTCACACAGGTTTTTATTTTTATGTTCATTCTTTCTTATTTTTCCCTAATTTCAGGTAATTTAATATAGACATTCTTTAATACACTTCTCTGGTAGTTCTTTCATTTTATTAACTGCTGTTATATAGCCACAGTAGTGCATTGTATTTACTAATAAAAGTTACAGTGTTTGATACGATTTTGTTCAGTTAGTTACCTTGTTCAGTTAGTTTAGTAAGTTAACTTTAATTTCAAATACCCGACTTCATACAGTGTTCCAGGAATTAAAATCCACATAGTCATTTTAGAAAGACACTTTGCCTCCCTTTCTTGTCAGGTGAGGAATCTTTCAGTATTGAGTTTGGGGTTCTGCAGATAGGATTTGTTTTATATTGATGCTTTGCTATGGTTCTGTCTTGCACCCTCTGAGCTCTAATTCTGTTCTGGAGTTCTTCTGTTGTAAGGAACTTGGCCACTGCAAATGTTGTGCTTTTTTGGATATAAATACATGGATCATCTACCCAAAGTATCATGTATGGAAGACACCTCTATGCATAGCAGTGAGTCATGAAGTGCGTTTGGAGATTCAGTGCCTGAAGAAGATGCTGCACTGTGAGGGGGTCTTGCACTGTAACCATGAGGAACATGCTTGTTTTAAGACTGCACGGGTAGGCTTAATACACCCACCTGTAAGAGAGTTGTCGTAGGTTCCCTCTGCTTTAGAAGAACTCTGAGAACTAACCTTGATTTTACTTTCTTCTTACCATGTTGCTAGTAATTTATGAGAACTGTATTTTAATAAGAAATTGTTGAGGAGCTTGATACTACTCTCAGATCTTACTGATGCCTTTCTGAAACATTGTTCTCAGTAATACAGGCTGAGTCATTCCTTTCTTGTCAGTGCTGAGTTTGTCCTCCTTTTCGAGATAGATGCATTTTGTTCTTTTGTAAACTTGGCATTCAGGATTCATTAGGTAAATTAGCTGCAATGTTCCTGAGGTTTTTAGCAAATGCATAGAAGTATCTGAAATTTATTTACATATTTGCATTCTGTTTAATTTTTTTTTTTTAAGTAGTATCAGAATAGCAACTGTATACAGTTTTAAAAACAAACAAACAAAAAACAAGAACCAAAAAAAACCCCAAACACCTATAGTAGACCTAGAATTCTTTCTTGGGTAGTCACGGAAGGTGAATGAGTTGTATATGATGGATGTTAGTCTTTCTGCTTCTCGTGTTTTCAGAAAATACCTGGATATTACAATGGCTAATTTCAGAATGCATATAGAAGGGAAACTAATGAATGCAATGGGGTAGATTATTTCAGTTTCTCTGTAACTTGCGTCCTCAGGTAGACGACATCCAATGTAATTGGGAGAAAAAAAAGATTTTCTCATTATTAGTGTTTTTAAAATAAAAATAACTTATTGAATATTCAGTCTAAGGGGTGGGGATACTATTATCCACATCATGATTTTAATGAAAAGTTCGGATTTTCTTATGGACAATCAGTAGTCCAAAGCTATAGAGTTGGACTTCAAAGTAGAGGAAGAAGACCTTTGGCTTTTTTTGGATTTTTTTTTTTTTTAAGCTTGAACAAGAAAGCCCTAGTACAGATCAGAAAAACACGTCCCTCTGGACTGGATACTTGATTCTTTTACAAGTGTTCTCTTACCTGATATCTGACACTAACCTGTGCTAGAGTTAGAGTATCGAAGTAGAGGTTTGATCGAATGGGGAGAGCAATTTCATAAACTATAAAAGCATCTTATTCTTGTGTTTAGATTCTGTTTTTTAAATATAATATAGAATTTATATCATGGATATGTTATCTGTATTTTGTCTGTGTCTATGTATGTATTTTTACATTCATGGAAAAAATGTATACATTAATAAAAATAGAATATGTGTCTTACAAATAGTTCTAATGGGGAAGAGAGGTTACAGGCAAATTAATGCCTGTTTCTCTTCTTTTGTATACTTAGCAAGAAATATTGGAAATTCATATCATAGAAACTATTTTTAAAAATGAGAGGGCCTCTGTTATTTTTATTTTATATTTTATTTTTATCTTATATTTTTATTTTGGAAGACATTTGCTTCTGTTTCAGTTCTGTGAAATATTGGGTGCACCTGATTGGATTTACATGAGTTCAAAACACTTAGTACTTCTAATACTCACATTACATGTTTCCCTCTACTATAACCTCTCTTTTCTGCAACTTGTGTAGCTACGCTGTTAAGTTCTTTATGTTCAAGACCTCGGTAGGCCTAGAACAGAGATAATGTAATCTGTTATTGATTTAGAGAAATTGTTCAAATCTAGGAAGAAGACAACATTTGTAGGACTTCCAGCAGTGAAACAGTTAAGGGAAATTTGTTTTCTTTCTAGCCCAAAGGGCTGTTCTTCAGGTCTCATCAGAGAGCAAGTCCTAATGGGGAACTGTTTAGAAGACTGCAGCTATAATGTTAGGAAAAGCAGAGAATTAGAGCTTTTTTGCCTTTCAAGATGTCAAAAGGTACTTTGTTACTAAAAGCAATAAAATTGCTTAAATGCGTTTTTAATTAATTCCAGCAGTTCTTTTAAATGTCCCTGTTTCAGTAGTGATCCACAGGAGTGGAAGGGGAAAAATACACAGACAGAATTCATTAATCTTATTTACATTGTAGGTGTTTCCCATTATCTTAAAAAAAATGAAATCTGTATTTAATGTCTCTTTTGTGTCCAGTTTGGATAATATATGAACAGGTGATGATTGCTGCCCTGGACTGCAGTCGAGATGATTTGGCATTGGTAAGTTTTCAAGTTGACTTTTCCCTCAAACCTTAAGCTTTCTTTCTGGGTGTCTCTTCCAGATAGTTCTTTGGACAGTTACAGGATAGTCTGTACTCCATAGCTTGGACTTGTAGAATATCTATCAAGAAACACACTGCTGGGAAGAAACCGCCTCCACCCACCTTCTCTAATGTGTAACTTTTGTTTAGACAGATCATGTCTCTTCCAATAGCCATGAAAATATTTACAGCTACTCTGATATGGGCTAAATGTCAAGAATAATATTGAAGTTGCCAAATTGTACAGAGACTGTTTGTTTATTGAAAAACTCTCAAATTATATTGGTTTTTTGAATATTTTGAGGTAAAACGTCCTGTCATGCATATCGTATTATATGTCATGTTGGCTATCATCAAAGAAAGTCATTGACATACTGATGAAGTCTTCAAGATGAATAAGGAGCTGGACTGCATAATGTATAAGGAAAGGCTGAGAGATCTGGGTTTCTTAAGTCTTGAGAAAGCTAAGAACGGGTTTTATTGCTATCTTTGAATTTGTACTAATGGGAAGGTATAAAGAAGGTGGAGACAGATTTTTGTAGGTGTGCAGCAAAAGACAAGTGTGAGAGACGTAAGCTGCAACAAAGGAAATTCCAACTAGATATTAGGAAAAAGGTTTTAACAGTGGGGTTAGTGAACACTTTGGGACAAATGACACAGACAAGCTGTAGAATCTCCTTTGGAGATGCTCAGAAATGGATTGGGATATGGCCCTGCACTCACTTGGAAGCTGGCTCTGTTTTGAGTGGGGATTTGGAGCAGGTGACCTCTGAAGGTCCCTTGCAATCCAAATTATTCAGTGATTCTTGATAAAAATATTGTTAATGGATATTTGGGTTTAGTCAATTTGTATGCAAATTTATTTGAATTGTACAAATAACAAGATAAAATGAGTTTATTTAGAACTGTAACACCTGTTCACTAGATTAAAAATGAAGAAACACTGAAACAAACAAAAAAACCCAACCAAGCTTAGCTAATCCTTTAAAGGCAGCAACTGAAAAAGGCACGAGTGTTTTGCAGGCAAATTTTAATAATCTTTTCATCCCTCTTTCACAAAACACTGGTGAAAAAAGCCATGAGCTTGTCTTGGGCCCTGAAAGCCAGCAAGCTTGAGCTTACTCTAAGTAGAAAGAAAGATATTTTCAGGAGTCCGGGTCTTTCATGGGGATTACTCTTCCAGTGCCTTGTTCTCTGTCAGATGGCAAAATACCCCATAAAGTCTTTGAGCTTCATGTGATGTCATTTGGGTGAAACTTAACGGTCTGTGATATACAAGGGGTCAGACTAGAGGATGTAGTTGGGAGAAGGGCAATTTGAAAGTAGGCAGAACTAGACAAGTTTATCTTGCATCCCATATGTAATGGTAAAATGGAGTACACTGGAAAATACAGCACAACACGCTGAACTTGTCATGAACCCACTGAACTTCCCTTTCTTTTGTTCCTCAGAAGAAAATACTGTTGTAGTGTAGCTGTCTGTTTAAACAAAACCAAATAGACTTACTGTTTAAATAAATGTATTTCTGTTTTCTTATGTACATCTAAAACAGTTTTGGTCTTTATTTTCAGGGTCTTTTTAGAAAGACTTTTACAAAATTGTTGAGGGAGCCAGTGTTGAAAGATCAGTTGTGAAACACTATTTGTTTTTACTAACCCTGGCAGGGATTTTAAATTTCAGTTTCTGTGCCCTTTAAGGAATATTGCTTGAGATGAGGGAGTGCAACATTTCATATGCAGCTCAGAAAGAAGGTTAAAAGCTTAGAGGGAAACTTAGTTGGTTTTTTATTTTTATTTAAATTTGATTGATTTATAATAAAGAAGTAGTTAATTCAAACAAGTCAACATCATATTTGGTTTTTTGCTACAGCTGTAGCCCCAAAGTAGACAAACAGCTTTGGAAATTCAGTTTTTTAGCAGTGAGCTTTTGACAGCTGTGATGCATTTTGCTTAGGGGGATAGGTCTCATCTGCTCCAAATGAGGAGGCTGAGATGGTTTTCAGAGTCATTTATCTGACTGTTTTTTCTTTTCCTTTTTTCTTTTTATTACTGTTATCCTCTCCGTCCTGCACAAAATGACTATGCATAATGCATGCCCCTACTGCAATCAGCCAGTTCTTTCATACACCTGTATTAGTGAAATCAGCTACTGTAGGCAGGCACTTGCACTACCAGTGTTTTACATGCTGAAGTCCAGGTTAACATTTCTTTGCCTTTGTCAGACCTTTAAAATTAAAAACCTATGTGATTAAAAAAATCAGAAAGCAAGTTAACTGCAAATTAAAGTTTCCCATACAAATGAGGTTTGCCATTGTAACTGCTGAGTTTCTGAGAGAATCTCGAAAGTAGATTATTGACATAATGTAGAACCAGTCCTCAATAACATTGGGGATTATGGGGATTACAGGTTAAATTTAAAAAGAGGACATGCAGCGCTGCTGTGTCCAGAACATTTTGAAGATATAGCTAGTGCAGTTTATTCATGCACTTTTGTTTTCGAAAGTGTTGCAGTGAATTGTTCATGACTGTCTCACAACTTTTCATGTCACTTTATTGTGTCTGATGTCTTAATCTACAGGAGTTTATTTTGGCCCTCCGGCTGCTGTAGTTGGTTGGATAACGATCATGTAGTCAGATCTAACATGAATAATTCTGGTTTTGTATGACTCCTGCACTTGAGTGCTACTTCATCAGCTTTTTTTATATTGTCAGTGGCATTTTTCTAGATGTAAAAGTCCATCTGCAGATTGTGGAGTTTAGTATTATTGCAAATGCTACAATTTTTGACATTTAAAAATTTTATTGGAGAAAAGCAGCTCATGTTTTTATACTGAAAATCAGTGTCCTATGGGATTCCCAGATCACTGGGCCACAGGGTGAATTTATTGTCTGCAAAAGTTCTTTTCAAAATCTAGAACGTTATTTGTACAAAAGCTGGAGTGGAACTGCTTTTCTGGAGTTTTATATAAGTTTTCCTGTCTCTTAAGAATGTTCACAGATTAGTTCAGACCTCATGTAATGTGCTGCTAAGTACATGCCGTTTTTTATGACAATTTGTTGTCCAGAGCAGCAACAGTTCACCTAGACATCGCTCAGAGTGCCAGTAAACTGTTTCTTTACTAAACCTGAGTCTTGCTATGTGAAATTGCATTGTTGAGATCTTGGTTCATTGGAAACTAAGATGATCATGGTGAAAATATTCTGTGCTTACTTGAGGCTGAGCATTACTTCTTTGATTACTGTTTCCTTTCTCTCTTCCTTCTCTATTTTTTTTGCAGCTGAGAGAGATGTGACTATTTCTCTTTGCTGTGCTCTAGCGACCTGTTTATCTACAGAAACAGAGAGGGAACCTGCTAATTTTTACTGATTTGCTTCTGTATTTTTCCTTTGACCAGTGGATGTGGTGAGATGGAACAGATTAAGTAGATAGGCCTCTGCTAGAACCTTAGGGCTGAAGAACAAGTTTATAAGCTGAGCTGTATAAAAAAATGCCTGGAAAAGGAGGGTTCTGTCTGTAGCTTTTAATGTGATTGAAACCACTGGCCTTTTTGAGAGTCTGGGGACTGTCCTGCCTCCCACCGTAATGAGACAGTTACAAATATTGCAATGCTATCTAGCCACATTCATGATATGGTTAGAGTTAGTTTGCTCTGGGGAAGTTGTGACTCAGTCCCTCTACCAAACATCCTTTTTCGCTCATCCGGAGAAATCTGCCTGTGATGAATTCCTTTTATCCAGCCCAGGTGTCTCATTGATTTCAGGAGTCAGAAGCTATGCCTTTTCTGCCAGGATGCTCAGCCCAAGCCAGTGACAAACATTTGCTTTGGATTTCAAAGTTTTATTTTAAAAATAAACACAGAGCATAGTATTAGCATAGTTTGTTCCATTGTGAGATATCCATTTATTGAAGAAGTATCACATAAGCTCTTACCATCTTTATTTTGTTTTTTACTGTCTTGTGTTATTATCAGGCAACTAAGTATACTTCAAGTTTTAATGGTATCAGAACTGTTTTAGTAGGTGAGTTTAATTTTCTAGACAAATAACTATTTCCAAGAAGGCCTGACGATCTAATGACCTATATGGAAGATATTTCTTAGAATTAGTCTTCTAACAGACCAAGTTTCAGTTTCTGAGCTTCTCTTTATCAATACATTTTATTGCTTATTTCAAAAATTGGTATTTGCTTTTACTCACAAGTGCCATTTCAGGTTGTTAAATTATCAGCCAAGGACTTTTTTGTTTTCCTTCCAGCTTCTGTGTAGATAATTATATTCATAATAGTATTTTTGGTTTTATTTGTATAGTTTTGTCTTCAGGAACTAAGGCGGCAGTTTCCTGGGAGCCACAGAGTTAAACGATTAACTGGAATGCGATTTGAAGCTATGGAAAGGTAAAACCTGAATTTAAAAAAATGTACTTTCTGTCTGGAAAGGTGCTTGCCCTTTCTTAAAAAGGGATTCAGGCACTATAAAAATACGGCAAAGCAATGCTGGGCAGTTTCTTTACAGAAAATAATGGTGTGCGTGATCATAGTATAATGTTTAGATTGCAATTTTTATTGCCTTTTTGCATGTACTATGCAGTGTTATATATTTGTAATCTTCCCATCAGACTTCATAGATTAAAAAGATCTCTTACTCGACAGCATAAGTCATTATACAGTAAAACACTAGGCACTTTTTTGGCGAAGTCTGTGAGGTATACGTTTCATCTCACGGAGCTAGAGCAGCATATGAAAATCAGTGCCAGCGTGTTTTTGCCTTCATTGTTGTCCTATGCTCCTAATTACCGCAGGATGTAGTTCTTTTCCCTTGTTTTCTGAGTGTGGATAAATCCAGTAGAACTTAATAAGGATTAAATCTATAGAGTTTGTTATAGAAAACTCAAAAAACATATGGAATAGAATGGCAGAACCTAAAAATCAGACTGACCTTTTTGAATATCCTATAGAAGTGTTATAACATACTAAGTTTAACAGGAATTATTAAAATCATGAACAGCTTAAAACGTTACAGCTTTACAAGATGAATGACCTCAGGGCTTGGGGTTGACCTTTATTGTCCGCCTTTCTTCTTGGATACATCTTTGATAACATTCTGTTCTAAAGCGCTTGTCTTGGGTGTTGAGAAGGACTTCCAGCTTCCAGTGACTTTGAATGCTTGCAAATCTGTTCCATGCCACATTCTGCATACAGAATTGGTGAGATTTGGAGCCTTTGGGACATCTTGGTACAAAGGAATTAGAACTTAGAACTAAACCCTAAATGCTTTTTTAAAAAAAATATTTATTTAGCAGATGTACTTCATTCATTGCATTCTTGCAAAATTAGCATTGAAAACGTTATTTGATATGAGCCACCAATGAATGTCCATTGCTTGGCTCGAAAAGAGTGGATAACTGGACTCCACAGCCACAGGAGCAGTCTCGGGGCAACTAGATGCTCCACGTTTCACACTCACTTTATATCACATTCATGAAGAATTTCCATTAAACTTAGCTCTCTTTCTGTCTTCATTTGATATAGGATAGGAAGACAGTTGGAGAATGGCAGCAGATTTCCCCCCTTCCTGAAACCTCTTCGGAAGTGCAAAAGATCATAATTCTGTTTAGGCTTATGTGACTACTTTGAAGATGTTATTGCATGGGAACAGATCTTTGTGGGAGATGACTGCCACACAAACATTATGTGTTGTTTCAGCACTGAAGTGCTATTGAGCCACAGTTTTCTGAAAGTGCTCATAAAAATTATCTCTGTCAGGTTAGATCCTTGAGATTGGAATATCAGGGGAGCAGAGGCATTAATGAAAGCTGAGGTTTCAGCTTCATAGATTTTCTCCAGAAGTCAGAGAATAAAGAGGCTTCAGCTCTGGGTGGTCTTGAACAGGAACCCATCTGCAGGTGCTCCAAGCCATGCCCTGGAGAAGCCTGTCTCTCTCCACTGACTATAAATGAAGCCTAGGGAGACTTAGGCTGGAGGGATCATATTTTCAATTGAAGAAGTGAGCTTCTTGTGAAATTCCAGGTGACTTCTAGGATCTAGGAAGGATCCTGCCTTCCCCAGCAGGAAGAGGAAACAGTGAAGAACATGCCTGTAGACTGAGACATCCCTGTAGACACTTGCTAATCAAAAGAATAGTATTCTGGAACTTCACCCTGTAAAGCTGGGGTTATGGCCATCATGTTCAGTCTTGTAGAATACATTTGGTGAAGTAGCAACTAACAGAGAACATGAATACAGCATTTTACAGCACGTCTGCTCAAGTCTGTAGGAGTCACCTTCTATTTGTTTATGCTTTTGTGCTTCCTTTCACATTTGTTCTCATACCTTATGGTAACTGGACTGGACAGTTGAGCTATGCTAATGTTAGCAGTGCTTAGGGAGCAGTGAGAGTATGTAAATGGGTGTCCAAGGTGAGAGGGGGATGTGTAGCATCAAAATCAATCAGCAGTACCTCTGACAAACTGCTTGTCAAACTATACGTGAAGACACAAAGTATGCCCTACTTATGTGGTGATAGCACAACAGCTGTGTAGTGAAATGTGTTTTGAATTGAATTATTTGTCCAGTTTGGGTCATGTACCTAGCTAGCTGAACACACAGATCTGTTTCCCAGAAGGTTTAAAGCGTTTATAGCAGCTGGAGTAACCTGTTTCGAGCATACTTTAAATAGCAGAATTAATTAAGAAAACCTATGTAGTGATGGTGGAAAACATTTTCTTTCAGATTTATGGTATAGTCTAAGGGTGGACTCTTGTGTGAATCCCCCCAGTTTATTGTATGTGGCTGCTTATACTTCATAAAATCATAACAGAAAAAACTTACATGAAGTTTTAAATTACAACAGCGAAGTGAAAAGTCATTATTTTGGATGGCCTTTCAAATTTTGGTGTTTCTGTTTCTTGGGAGAGGTGAAAGGGAGAGTTGGGATGTGATGATTTGATCTATTGGGTGCAGAAAAAGAGAGAACAGACAGGAGAATAAGAAATTGGGTGTAAAATATCTAAGTTGCTGCTGAAACAGTATTCCATGAAGCAATTACCATGTATTTTTTTAACTTGGTGACATAAAATACTGCTGTTCATATTTAGCACTCACTCAAGAGAATTTTGTATGAATACAGTTTGCTTAAATATATTCAGTATAAAAAGTGCAGGAGGGTTATTAACTATTGCAAGGACAGTCAAAAAGTCAGGAGTTCTCTCTTAGCAGAAATAGATGTGAATGTTTTCTTTGAACAGGTATGATGATGCTATCCAGTTATATGATAGAATTTTACAAGAAGATTCAACTAACACAGTAAGTTTAAAAGATTTTTCTGAACTGCAATGATCTGTTTGTAATTGTGATTATATTTTGTGGGTTTCACTGTGGAAAAATGTGTGCCTGTATTACTGTATTTGTTTCCTTTAGTTTCCTATAACCTGTTACCTTCATTAGAACAAATGAGATTTGTTTCATGATGAGAAGGTGTGATGTAATACATGCTTAAACAGTGAATTTAGAAGACAGGATTATAACTGGCAACCTTTTCAGCAGTCTTAGTAGGGTTTAGATTGTACCTTCCAGCTTTTCCATTTTCCCTGAATATTCAGTATTTAAAGGACCAATATAGTCTGCCATGTGTCTTCTGTCTTCCTAATGCTTAATCTTACTTAAAGATTAAGTATGAATACACTCAGGTAGTGCTTGAATAGCAGTTATTTTGATTTATTGTCTGGGACACTTTACTAGTTTTTGCATCAAAATGCTATAAAGTTTGACAATCGTATAAAAACAAAAAAAATCTGAGACAGACTGTACTTTTCTTCTAAGCATTTTCTGAATACTGGTTGTGTAAGCCACCTTGAGCTATTAGATGCCAAAATGAAAGTCTAGGGAAACTTGTGGCAATATATTTTCATGCATTTTTTTTTCCACAAGGATAAAACTAGAAATACGCAGAAAGTACGGAGTTTCAAATTTTTATATCACATGTTGCAGAGTCAGTTAATTATTATTAATCATTGACTGTTTGAGGGTATGTGTTTGTCTGTGTTACTTGGTCTTGAGGAGCTGGTTCTCTTTATTGGGTAAACTTCTATGTAGGTGTAATACTTAGGCTATTGCAGATGTTTTGGCAGTCTCGTGTAAACCTTCCTTGGTGCGTTTTGAATCTCTACTTTTCTTCAGTCAGCTTATTTAATGTGGTCAGCTATTCAGGAGGGGAAAACCCACAGAAACACAGATAACTGGGATTAAGTAGGGTATGCCAGAGCTGGATATAGATGAAGTGCCATCACTTAAACTAAACCATTAAAAAACCCCCCACAAAACAAAGTAAAAAAAAAAAAAACCCAAACAAAACACCACCACCACCAAAAAACACCCAAAACCACCAAACCAGAAAATTATTTTCAAGGCAACACATCTGAAAACGTTAATACCAAGTTAAGCACTCAGACGACAGTGGTAGATTAGAGTCTGTGTCTTCTAGCAGTGATAGAACTCCTATTTTTTGTGCAAGGGTGAAAAGAACTATTTTAATTCTTCACTCTTATTTTTCGCTCTCCCTACAGCAGTACTATTTGAACTGTGTTCTGTGAGACAAATGTAGGTGATCTGCGGTTGTCCTTTGAAAGTCTATAGTATTTTGAGTAAAAGTTTGAGCACAAGGTGCATAGCTGTCTGCAGTAAATGTTGGTGGATTTTATCAGTGTAAGGCCCAAAGAGTTTCAGAGACGCTAAGTCTTCAGAGTCATGTTAGAACAAGGTGGAACCCATCCACAGTGAAGGCACAAGAACAGGTCACCTGGGTGCACATTTTATGACCTTTTGCTGAAGCCAGTGGAAAATGGAGCACCGTATTACAGTGACTTCTGTGGACCACAGATCTTTGAAGTGTGCATTTTTGGCAGTTCTACTCTTCAGCTGTCTCAACAGGGCTAATGTCATATCAGTGGTTTGTTGGGTAGTTTTATAAAACAAAATGATACATTTAAATAAGTAATATGCATGACTATTACCTAATTTGGATTTCCTCCTTAACAAAATCATAAAGATCCATAAAATGGTAATGTTTAGAAGCATAAGATGTAAATATTAGAACAGCTGCATGATCTATTTGATTTCTTAGGATCTGAGAACAGAAGTGGAGTGTTAAATGCAAAGCAAAGGTTCCTTGCTATATAACTACAGAATAGGTTGACTAAGCCTTGCATGTGAAGAGTGAAAGTTAAATAGAAAGTTTTGATAAATTGTCATGTGCAGATTTCTTTGTGTCTTTTACCTGTTAATTATTTCCATGCACACATGTGGCTGCTGTAGGAAAATAAATATTTCAAGATTTTAAAAAATAAACTGTTGCTGAGTTTGTCTTGGCACTCACCTTACCTTATAGCAATTTCTTCTGGTTTGCTGACACATGGAGTTGCTTATATACATTAAACATTTTGGCAAGTGTTGTAACTGAAACACAGACATTTGTTCACACAAATCATGTAAAAATCATACTTTGCATCGACTGACAGTTTCAAATAGAAGCATGGAAAAAGCTTTTTCAAAAAATTATTTATTTTAGACACCTAGCAGACTTTTCCATTATGAAAACTTCAGGGCACTGGGGCGACTGGTTGAAGGATCAGGAGCACAGGTAGTGGTTTCCTCAATCCCTACAGTGGCAGGGAAGGACACTGAAAGGAACAGGAGAACACACCTGATCAACACGTGGCTCAGGGGCTGGTGCCATTGGCGGAATTTTGGCTTTTTTGATCATGGGGAGGTTTACACGGCACCGGGCCTGCTGGCGACAGATGGAGTCCAGCTATCTCACAGGGGGAAAAGGATCATTGCTTATGAATTGGCAGGGCTCATTGAGAGGGCTTTAAACTGGGTTTGAAGGGGGAAGGGGATAAAACCAGGCTCACTAGAGATGAGCCTAGGGGTGGCATGCCGATGCTGGGAGCGAAATCGATAGCCCAGCTCAAGTGCATCTACACCAATGCACGCAGCATGGGCGGCAAGCAGGAGGAGCTGGAAGCCATTGTGCAG